GAGCAGACGGGGCGAGCCCTCCCTGCCGGGAGAGCCAGCCCTGCGGCAGGCAGCGCCATGGTCTCATGGATCATCTCCAGGCTAGTGGTGTGAGTAACTGCCGGGCTGGCACCTTGCGTGCCTGTGCCCGCATGTCTGTGTGTGTGTGTGTGCGGGGTCTGCGCCCTGCCCGCTGCCTGGCCCCCGCCTCGTCCCCGCTACGAATACGCGGTGGCGACCCGGCTAAAATTAGCAGGTTGTTGTTAGGGTCGGGGCTCTGGGCTGTTCGGTGGGTGAGGGAGAAAATAGGTGGGTCGAACGGTATTTTCCCGCGTGGGAAAATTACCAGGGGGTGGAGGGCAAAATGCTGCCGTGCCGTCCGGCGCAAGGTGACGGGGGAGAAGGAGGGCGGCTGGCATCGCCCCGTGCTCGGCGATGAAAGGGCTCGGGGGTCCGGAGGGGGAATCGAGCATCAGCGGGTGGGAAAATGGACGTGGATTTGGGCAGCGGGGCTTTTGTTAGCGGGGCTCGGCGCGGCTGGCTGGGACTCGCGAGAGGGCGCTGGGAGAGGCTCTCCCAGCCGCTGTTTTCTTCTCTCTTTTTTTTTTTTTTTTTTTGTAAAAGAAATATCAAATATTTCTTTCCTCTTCGCAACTTGCCGCCCACCCTCTCAAAAGGTGTTCTCGATTTCCCTTTAACCTGTCAGCCTGGGAGGAGAAGCGTGTGGCTCTTTGCACTTGTCCTACACCTTTTCCATAGCTGGAAGCGCTATAGGTGGGAATACATGCAGAAATTCCCTGGAAATGCTTCCCAGACAACAGGGGAAAATGGAGCGAGCTCGAGGTATATGTTCATCTGCCCCACCTGAGAAGAGATTCAGTGGGAAAAGGGCGGTTTTGATGCCACTAGGAAAATTCCGGGGCGGGGGGAAGTTCAGGCTTAAGGTGGGGGCAGCAGGATGTCTGATCTGCCTCCCTTCTGGAAATGTGGCTGGTCAAGGTTAGTGCGCTGAATCAGATGAATGATTTGCCAGTTTTCTCTGTCTGGTACATATAGCTGCAGATTCAGGAGAACATCTGTTGTGCTCTTAAGTTATTGTAGAGGGTCTGCAAGGGCCTGTCACTTTCTTTGTCTGAAAGAAACGTGCCATGATGTTGCACCATCAGCATAGTTCCAGAAAGGCATTTTCAAGGTCTCCTCTTTTGCCATATGAGATGAAACGTCAAAGGGAAAACTCACCTTGATCTTAGCTATCTCTCCATATCACTAAGACATTGGGTGGCTGTCAGATATGAAGATTTTTGGGGGGTTCAGAGTTGAATTTAGCCCCTGGAGGTATATGATCTGGATTCAGCTGCAGCTGTTGCTAGCCATTATTGGCTTTGCACTTCATTCTGGGAAAACGTGTTAAATATTTAAATGATTTCATGTGAACAGTATAACTGTGCAGATATCTCTGACAGCAGTGTGAGATGTAGCGTGTATTGTCCAAGGCTGCTTTTCGTTCTTCTCTACTAGACTAATTTCCACTTTGAAAAAACCTGTCATCGTGTAACCCGGCTAATCCTCAAGAACAAAGAATGTCTACAGAGAGATGGTAGTTTAACTTACTTGCCTCGGCACATGCACATATACACGGGTGGTTTCATCTTAAGACACAGGGACTGGGTAAAAATCTGATAGGGGCAGGACATAGAGCAGTTGACATCTGCAGTCAGGTAATTAGCTGAACACACAAACCTTCCCGTTCTCTTCAGCTTTATTTACCTGAATAGCGTGTCACGGTATGAAATCAGCTGTGTAGAGGGTGGTACCAGTTATTTGTTATACTAGAATTTCAATAGCAAATAACAATTTGAATATGCAGTGTAAATATTAATCATTCAGTAATCATAGTAATAATTTAAAAAAGAATTTTGCAAGGAAACCTAGGGCAAGCCAAGCCTGATCACCACTTTCTTTGCACTGCTCCTTAGTATACATCCATCCTTTAAGAATGTTTTGCACCAGGAAGTGCTGGTTTGTTACGATCCCAGCAAGGAACTCGAACTCTGTACAGTATTGCTTAAAATACCATTTACTAGAGCTAAAATTATAAAGAAATAGAGGAGAGTATAAATAGTTTTACATCCCTTCAGATGCTGGAAACCCTGAGCTGCCTCACATGGAACAGCCCTCATGTCTGGGCGCAGCACACGGTGCAGATCTGGCTGTGGAAAGGTTACCTTACGTATTGGTCTTTTGAGCCCTTACAGTATTTTCTTTTTTTAAAAAAGAAAAAAAACAACAGAAAAGGCAATTCTATTAATCATTTCTACTGTCAGATGAAAAGGATGTTCACAAGAGAACTTGTTGCTGCACTTTTAGATGAAGACGAACGAGGACATGCAGGTGGTTTAATTGCTGGTGACCACTGCGTGCTTCCTACAGGCTCCTTCGTTACAATTAACCGGCTGAGTTGATCCTGCATCCAGGATCCACCGCGCAGGCCAGGAGACCAAGCTGTGCCTGCAGCACAGCACAGGCCTGCGCCCGCTCAGGTTAACTGTTAGGTGGATCACCGACTCCTCGCTGTACAGTGGTCTTCAGATTAGGATCGTGATGAAGATTTAATCTATCTAATCTGGTTTCCCCATCTCATTATGAATCGCTAGTTGATCCATCAGTACAGACAGCTGTTCTCTAAGCAGAATGGCTACCTGGTTGGGCTTTTTTTTTCCCCTGCTCATGCCTATTTAGTTGTTTTTTCATCAAATCTTACCGACTCATAAGGATTATGAGGAAAATGGTGTGGTGTGGTTTAGTCACACCATGAATGTTGCTTTGTGCTTTACGACTTCTGCTGATCTCCGTGGGGGTTATGTCTGATATGACTCAGCTAACAGAAAGGGCTTTAAAACAAAAAGCAAACCTTTGCTTTGGCTCTTGGGTGCTTTGTTGCTTCCACTGTCTCTGATTCGGTTCTTGCCATCTCTGTCCTGGCAGTTTCTATTTCCAAAATGTTGCTGAAGGAGAAGAGCCTGTGAGCATTTCTCAGGCACTTCAGTGGGAAGTCAGGCAGCTTATTGCAAACCTTCTCTTACATCATTTCAGCTTTAGTGTTCGGGCTTTGTGTGCATGCTGATCCAGAGTGCTGGCTTGTTCTGTCCTGCCCGCAGAGCTGTGTGCTGGTAACCCCCAGAGAAGAAATGACAAAAACTTCAGGGCAGCATCTTATACTGCCGCAGCTGTGTGTTAAAGTCGAAACTTTGTTATTGTCAGGATCTGCACTGGGTACTGTACAAATGTGAAACAAAAAGATAATCCTGTCCCTGGATATCTTTTGCCTTTAAGAGCTCAATACTCATCCTCCTGTGGTCCAGGTAGTTTTTTCACCCGCCTCAATGAGAACTAAATCAGGGTGTTCTTTTTCTCATTATAGTAGATTACAGGTGACTTTTCCACTGAGGGATGCCTGCGATCCCTGTAATTGCAATTGTTGCATCTTGGAATTATTTGTTACTTTGTCTCTTACAATAACTGGAATGGGATAGCATCATTATTCGTGGGTTAATTACACTCTCTGAGTACATCTCAAAGGACACCCGGGAACACCTGTATCTCAGTTTCCTCATCTGTGAAGTGTAATGAACTGTGCTGAATTTGTCTTCTCTGAGACAGACCAGAAGGGATCAGTGGCACGTCCTACCGTCTACAGTTTATTGCTATTCATTTTGAAGGAGATTCTTTTTTGCTTCAAGTGGTAGAGGCCACTCTAGCAGAAGGACTTCGGTATTGCAGTCCAGTTCAGCTGCAGTGCACAGCACTGGCAATCCTATGTGGTTACTGGTCTGCTGTACCTTTTGGCTGTTGTCTAAAAGCATTTTGAAGTTAAAAGTGGTATATAGAAATGCAGCCTGTTGTATTTGCATGGAAATCCTATTTTCCCAGAAACACGGAACTTGCTTTTTGTGCTTGGGATCACGCAGAACAGAAATACAGGTTTTGGCTCCAATTCCGAAAGTCAGGCACATCACACTGCCCATTGAAAGCCTTTCAATCTGGAACACGTGGCAGAGGAAGGAGATGTCCATAGAAACGAGGCTGGATCAGGCAGGTCATCAATAGTTGGGATGATACTGCATGACTTAGGCATTTGAAGTCCTGCTGTCAGGAGCTCAGAAGTGCATTAGAAATTATTAGAAAATGGTTAAATGTGTTCTTCGTGGTGAAAAACCACAGCCTTAATTATGCTTTTTTGCCTGTATTTGTTTTCTTTTAAATCAAAATATCAGTAATGGCCTGCCTGATCTCTTATCGTTTGATGTGAAATAGGGTGGCAGCCTCAGATATATTCACTGGGAATTCCCGGCCCTGTGTGGAAGTAACAGGGATTTGGGGATTTATCAGAGGCATCCATTTTTCCGGCTGTCACTGGCAGTGGGTAGGTCTGAACAAAACCAAAGAGGAACCAAAGAATTATTTAAACTGATGAGTGAAATTTCCTTCCTTGTCACAGTTTCTCTGCTTTCTCTTTCTTGGTGACTGTGTGCCGTTTTAGCAAGGGTGGGTGAGATCGGCCACCCCCATCCTCAGCTGGTGTAAATCCATAGTGCTACTGAGTCAGACATTGATTTAATCAAAAGACACTGCTTACATCAGTAATGAATTTCCATTTTAGAGAAACTTAGCAGAGCCTTCCTCCTCCTGTTTTTCATGTGTATGAAGAGATTTATGAATGAAAAAGAAAAAAAATGTCACGTAATAGAGACTATATGATGGTAGAAAAGGATATCTTGTATCTTCTTTACCAGAGGCAGGCAGAGACAGGATCTGCTCGAGTGGGTGAGGGCTGTTCTCATGAAGGCATAGCACAGCCCCGCGCTTTTGGTTATTGGTATGCCGGCATTAGCCTTTCAGTTGATGTATACCACGTATGTGAAGGTCCTTCTTCAGAGTCTACGTTATTTACTCGGTGCTGGCAGGTGATGTGAAGGATTCTGTACAGGCCTCAACACCAGTGATGCAAAATTCTAGAATCATAGAATTGTTTCTGTTGGAAAAGACCCTTAAGATCATCAAGTCCAACCGTTAACCCAGCACTGCCAAGCCCACCACTAAACCATGTCCC